CATATTATGGATTTTTGTAAAGTATGGGTTGAAGTAAATGGTGATAAGTGTCCTGTTTCACCTGGAGATTTTGAGTATACTGTTACTATTCCTATTGAAACACACCCAGAAGACCCTAAGAATACCACAATCGGTTATGATTTTATATTTCAAAGTACGTATTATCATTATTATTATTATTATTTAAAAAAAAAAATAAAAAATTTATAATATTATAATTTATAAAACTATAATTTATGATTTATAATATTTTTATTATTTTTATTATTAGTTTCCAATCCCGGAGATCCGAAAACAGACTTATCCTGTATCAAAGGAAAGTTTTATGTTACTTATCCATGATTATTATTACTATAAATTATAACTGTATTTTATCGTTATTATGTGCTCTTTTGATTTTGACTTCAATATGTTCAAAAGTCTATTTAAATATTAAATTATGAATTTATTATATAAATAAAATTGCATAACGTATTAGCTTTTATTTTTGAAATATTGTCTGCATTAAAAAATATTTCCTATTGGACGCTTAGAAATTTTGCTTTTGATTGAGACATATTCAATACGATCAAATAACAGCACGTATGTTTAAAGTAATAACCCGTGTGTGTTTCTTTAAGATTTAACGAGACATAAATTATGCTACCATTTTTAAGACATAATTTAAGATATTGCGTGTTTTGAAAAACCTTTTTTTACACTGAACTTTTATGGATGTAGAAAAGTGGCGTAGCTTACTTTGTCCAATCAGAAATGGCATTTACAAACCGGATTTAAATTGCACCCAAAAAATTTTAGAACATACGATTTAATAATCACGATATATCGATTATCATAAGATGTTTATCTGTTATTAATAAAATTTTTATAAACGAAAGTATGCCAGTTCGGTGGTACGTTCGAGCTATTTTTACACTTGGAATAGTAGTCTTCTTTTATTGGCTTTTCTTTATTTCCTTGGTATATTCATAAATTTTTTTTTTTTTTTTGAATGAAAATTTTCACTGTGTACTTCTTATAAAATTAGGTTTAAAAGTGTAATCCTTTAAACAATAAGGAACATTATTATTATCTTTTGCTTAAGAACGATTTAGCGCAGGTTATAAAAAAAGCTTTATTTCATTTAAAGAATTTTTTTAATAAAATATATAGTACAAGTTTATTAACTAACATATTTGTGTTTATTATCATACTTCTAAAGCTGATATTTTCTTATGCGCGTACTATGTTAAAACTTTGACGAGTTGTCATCATTTTGCCCTGTAAAAATTTAGAAATTTATAATTTGTAAACATTTTACAGTAAAAGAATACGAGTGAATCCAAAACAATAATATCAGAAGCTAAAGGTTATGGAGTATTGTTATAATTTCATAACAATAATTTATAATTTACAAGGGTGTGGAAATACAAAAATTGGAGCAAATTACTTGGGCTGATTAATGCGTCAAGAATTGCCTATTAATAAATGTGGATGATGTAAATCGCATGGCTGAATTTCTTTAGGTTGCGATTTAACCCCACACGACTAAGAACTGGTGTGAGAAAAATTAGGAATTCCTAATATTTGACTACAAAATGGAATTCTAAACTGACTCTGTTGGTTAGAGAATTAAAATTCAATTTAATAAGTGGACTTAAAATTAATATTTAATCGTTATCAAATCAATAAAATAACTTTTTAAAAAAGTAAACGAACGATATCAAAAAATCCATTAAATACAACTATTAAAATTACTAAAGATCTTTTATTGTATCGAAAAATATTTAGTA